TTAATGATCATCTAGTATCAAAAGATGTTGTGGCTGAAATTGAAAATATTTTCAAGAACATTCACTGGTGGGAATCAAAGAATACACAGATAACATTCCAACATACGTACATAGAAGCGAATAAGGCAGCACACTCTCTAGCAAAAGGGGCCTCATTTTCCTTAGGTTTCCAAACTTATAATATTTATGTTCCTGATTGGCTCTGTGGTTTTTTCTTTTTGTTGAAAAAGGATACTTTGTGCCATATTACACACTGTGTAAACTCCTCCAGTTATTTATTTTTGATCAACAACTCCTCCAATTATTAATACAAGTTTTAGGCGAGAAAAAAAAACGAAAAATAATTCAAATATGTACACGTCATATTCACATTGATTTTTTTTTGCTGTCACCATATTTACAAGTAAACTAGGTGATTTTCTCGTGTTCATGCACGGGTTTGGATATTTATAAAGTAAATATATTGTAATATATTCTAATTTATTAATTTAGAAAGATATTTACTTTTAATTATAAATTATTTTTTCATTTATATGTATAATTTCTATTAATAATATTATATTATTTTAATTAGACATAGGATTTGGGAGATGTTATATTTAATCTGTTTGGTTGTTATTTTTTGTTAATAATTGATTTGGTTACACTTATATATTTTGGATTGCATCTGAAAATTCCGCCTGGAAGTCTCGAGACACCTCGGCCTTAGTTCGCCCGAAAGCGCATTCTTTCATATCAACAGTCCGTTCTTCAATTTTGAGATCTATTTTTCCAAATTCAACTATAATATTTTTCTTCTAAATATACTAAAACTTTGATTATTTTTTTTCATTTTTATTGGTTATCGTCTTATATAAGTAAATATATCTTAGTAAGATTATGTATAACTTAATATATATTATGCTTATAATATAATATATAAATGTATAAATTAAAAATAAAATGAAGTTTTGACTCAAAATTACATAAATGAATATAACGATAACATTTGAAGTCTCATTCATATATATAAATTTTACTTATAACAGTTGGTTAGTAATTTATTTTTCTATATTGATATTCTTGTGTCATCCTGTAATCTATATGTATAAAAACAAATAAATAATTATTCTTAAATTAGATGCTTTTGTTGTAGTTAGATTTTTTATTTTGGATATAAGTTGGATTTGTTCTGTTACTCGTTTTCTGAGTATATTTAGTTATAGATATTTTCAAATGAAAATATAATTATTTTTATTCTAATTAAATCAATTAAATTATTTTTATTTGTCGTTTAATACAAGTATTTTATAAAAAATTTAATAATTGGATATATGTTGATTTTAAATAAATAATAAAAAATAAAATGACGATCAATAGAAATTTACATACATAAATATGAGTATAAAGATAAACTTTTGCAACTTCATGAGCGCATATTAATATTTACAATAATTAAATATTTATAATTCTAACTTATTTTATGCTTTAGATTTCTTAAAAGGTTAACTGAAAAGTATTTTAAACAATCTAAAAATGAGAACTTATATTTACTTAAGTATTTTGATTATTTATATATTAAGTTCCACAAACATACAAAAACATAAAATAAAAAACAAACTAAGTATTAAAAAGAATTTTTAATAATGATAAAATATAATATTTCTACTTCACTAACAATGTATAGTGCTACGCTATTTAGAATGATTTTAAAATTATTTTATCAAAATATTTATTTTTGTAAAAAAATATTTTTAATTTTCTTTTTAATACCTCTTAAATAAACAGTAAATATGTTAGTTTAAGAAAATTTAGAAAAATATTAATTTTACTTAATATATAATGACTTATGTTTCATAAGTATTTCCTTTTTTATTTATGTGTGTTTCAAAAAGTAAACTTAAATTAAAAAGTTAAGTGAAATCTTGTTATAAAACAAAGAAATATATTATTAATATCAATCTTATATAGTATTTTTAGTTCATTAAGGGTATCTATGTAATCAAACATCATGAGTTAACGAGAGCGCGGCACATAGGAAATTGAATTCTCAAATAATATTATAAATATTTATATCCTCTTTGATTTAGTTATAAGTTCAAGTTTGTGTGTATGCTATTTTCACATATAGATTTGTTTAAATTTTTAATATAAAAATAATACAATATAAACTGAATTTGGTGCTCTATATAAATTTAGTAATTTATTTATAAATATATTTATATAAGTTACTCTATTTTAAATGTTTTAACAATTAATGTATATAGAGGTTTATTATATGTGGTTCAAAAGTGTAATGCAGTGAAATAACTAAAAATTATACAATATTTTATACGAGCTGAACTCCCGCTAATGGGCTACGCGTTTTAGGCCCAGATCTATTGATTTGGTTTCAAATCAAATGAGCACCGCCTCTGATCTTTCCCTCTCTCTCTTCGCGCTGCAAGATTCTCCCTCTCTGCGCTCTCCTTGGTCGTCACGCTTTGTGTTCTCCGCGGTCGCGATCTCTGAGTTCTCCGTGGTCGCACTCTCTCTTGAGTTCTCTGTGGTTGCACTCTCTCTGAGTTCTCCGTCGTCAAACTCTTTGGTCTTCTTTGTCTTACGCTTTCGATCTACGTCGTCAAATTCCTGCGATCAAGTAAGCAGATCTTTCTTTGATTCCTTAGTAAAACAAACTCGCCGACTATAGTTAGAAAACCTAATTTCATTTTCTTGTTCGAATTTATTGATGTATTTCCTTAATGTAACGGATGAATCACTTATCTAGGGTTTGGACATGGATCCTCTTCCTGAGAACTTGGTACCTAGCCGTCTAGTTGAACAGTGCATATTATGGGATTGTCGAAGGTTTCAGATTCCCTAGTGTTCATTAAACCATGAATTGCTATCTGCATTGGAGAAAGCTCGCCAAAGAGCGGTTGTTATCATTGACGGATTTGAAATGAAAGAACAAGAAAGTATCAGCCAAAATATTTTGATGGCCATAGCTGGTAATAGTCATTGTGGTGTGCTTGCCCTGCCTGCTCATGTTTTACAAGGTAACTCGTTGCAATTGGAAGAGCTGGATTCAAACCGCATTGAACACGAGTGGTACGAAACTGGCTATTTTCCTCGGTCAACACTAAGCCAGGAAACATTTGGCAATCTTATGACAGAAGGAGAGTGGCTGGCAATGAGTTGAGAAGAGACAAATATCATTTGAGGCCTCAACCTGAAGGGGCAACTTACACTCTTCACCATTATTCTCTTAAGAATGTGGTTTTGGATAGGTCTGTTTTTTTTATGAGCTTCACTGAAGTTCCTTTAGGTAAACAGAAGGCTAAAAGCGCTATCAGTTGTTTGAGTGAGCCACCAACTAAGAAGGTAATTTTGTTGTTCCAAAGCTTGTTTCTTCACACTTAGCTGGGTAGGACTATTGAGTTTGTGTTTTGGGTTGAAAGCTAGTTTTCATTGTTGATATAAACAGGTTTGTCAAAACGACATCGATCTGCTTAACCCACCAGCAGAGCTTGATAAGAGGAAGCACGAGCTCAAGCATCTTGTTCAGTCTCCCGACTCCTTTTCCAAGGTACTGATTTGAAACGTTTTTAACCTTTGAGAAATTACATTGATGTTGAGTTTGAGTTTTGATTTGTTATTAAGCTTAAGTTAGTTTAACGTACTGTAATGGGATGTAATTTGTCTTGATGTGAAACAGGTTCTTCGAAACGACATGGATTTGCTTAACCCACTAGCTGAGCTGCCTGAGCTTGAGAAGAGGACGCACAAGCTCAAGCGAGTTGTTCAATCTCGTAACTACTTTTTCATGGTACTGATTTTAGATTTTGTTGAGTTTGATTTTCTCCTAGTGATTGATGATGGAACTCTGCCTTATATGATGCATGAAAGTGTATCTACTCACTGATTGTGTTTCTTGTTGTTGTTCAACCAGGATGTGAAATGCCAAGACTGTTGGTATTGCAGCACTACCATATGCAGTCACCCGCTTACTGGTGTGGTATGTGGAAACTTCTAGACAGTGCTGTGCCTTATATGCATGAAAGGTTATATACTCTTTGTGGTCTCTGATTGTGTTTCGTGCTGTTGTTAACCTTTTTAACGTAGGATGTGAAATGCCAATGCTGCTTCAACATGTAAGATCTCATATTTCATTACAGTTTGATCAGTCTCTTCTCTTTTGAGGTTACACAATGAAGAAACCATAATATAAACTCATGACGTCTCTCTTTTGGCATTGTAGAACCAGTGATGCCAGTCACTCGCAGACTGTTGTGGTGTGTGGAAACTGCCAGACAGTGTTGTGCCAGCAAGTTCCTGGGTACAAGAAAAAATCAGAGACTGTTGAGATGTCAAAGTTGCTAGCGGTTGAGGATTTAGACAGCCAAGAGAAAGAAGAAGCAGTTTTGGGTTGTAAAGAAGTTGAGAGGAAAGTTGAAGAAATGCCAAGGCTGCTTCAACATGTAAGATCTCATATCTCATTACAGTTTGTTCAATCTTTTCTCTTTTGAAGTTATACAATGAAACAACCATAAATATAAAACTTATGGCCTCTCTCTTTTGGTATTGTAGCACTAGTGTTTTCAGTCACGCGCAGACTGTTTTGGTGTGTGGAAACTGCCAGACAGTACTGTGCCAGTCTACAGAAGGAAAGGCGAGGCTCACCAAAGGATGCTCTTTTCAGTAAAAAGTGATAGATTGATTTTGAAGCTTGAAGCAATCATCAAAAACTCATTTTACATATTAAAAAGAACTGACTTTTATGTGATCACTTGCAATTGCAATCCAATCCATTCCTTTTACATATTAAAAAGAACTGACTTTTATGTGATCACTTGCAATCCAATCCATTCCTTTTACATAAATGACTTTTGACAGAGAGATTTGAATCCATACCATTTCGGACCAGAACTTAAATCTTTAGAGAGAGATAGAACATTAATAAGAAGCTCCACCAACGTTAATAATTCATAAGAAACTCCACCAACGTTAAGCTTAAGTTCTGGTTTGTGAGAGGAACTAGAATCTCTTTGTACATTAATAAGAAGCTCCACCAACATTAATAATTCATCAAAATGCTAAGCCTCGAATGACACTTTTACACAATGCGGAAAGAAAAAGGACTGATTTAAGATGGAACTCAGATGTCACAAATATTAAGTTGGACAGAACATTTTAAGCTTTATGTGACTTTGAACTGACACTTGAATGGAAGTGAAGCTCCAAGAAGCATCATTATATCCTTTTTGGTTTGCACATTATCTTCAACAGCTTCTGCGACATGCACTTGAACCATTGCAAGACAATCGAATTCCTGCAGAAAAGTCTTCAACTCTAGCGCAGTTCCATAATAATGAAGAATATGCAACATCTTAACTTTGTTCTGTGGCATGGGAACAGAGCGAGTGTAATAATTCAGATCCTGAAAAAAAGTATCAACCAAGAAGAAGGTAAAATGATCAATCAAACCAACAACTAAATTACATATATTTTGCTAAAATTGAATCTCACCTGGATGATTAGAGTCTCAAGCTTTGGAGACTGGTTAAGTAGATATGCCAGCAACTTGCAGCCTTGCTTATTCGTAATCCCCATAGATAAACTAACAAGATTGTTGAACACTGGTAACCCATCCCAACAGTAACAATAAATCACCTGCAAATATAATAACAAAAAAACACCACATGTTTCAAAGAAGAATGTCTTAAAAAAAAAAACAAAACAAAACAAAACTTACATCAACGGAAACAGGGGAGAGATGAAGGGTGTGCACATGTCGCATCCCCCTAATGAGATTCGTAACATCTGGCCTCTCACCGGCTTTTTTTTCCGGGTAAAGATCGAGTTTAGCATCGACTAGGGATTCAAGATTAACTTGTATATACTCACTCAAGGCACAATGGGAGTATTCAAGAAAGAGGAGGTTGGGGAGGTCAAAGGACATAAAGCTACAACACTCAACATCAAAGGGTGAATCGTAGTGAACTGACAATCTCTTGACGGTCTGGCTTGCTATGGTGTGAGGGGTAGCCGAAAAGTCATGGTGATGGACTGTTAGCTCCTCGAGGACGGGGCAACCAGCAAGAAGCACATCACAAAGATCTCCGTATTCGAAGAAAACGGTGTCGATGAAGAGAGTCTTGAGAGATGGGAGTGAGACATTGGGAGGGATGGTTCCAAGATAGAGCTTTGTTCCTATCGTCAGTTTAACAAGCGAAACGCTAGCGAAGAGGCTTGGAGGTAGGTAGTGAATACCTTTATCTTTTATCCTCAAGTCAAGCTCCGAAGCACTGAGGTTAACGGCATTGGTTATCCAGCGGCTCACACAAGCCTTTTGGAGATCGTCTTCTTTGCCAACGTGGCACTGAAGGGAGAGTTTGTTGATCGGGTTTAGGGTTTGCAAAAGTGTTCGATCCACGAAGTTCTTGAAACTCTCGGGGAACACATCATGCACACTTTGCGAGTCGGAATCATCCAAGTCGAGATTATCCACCAGTGTGAATGTGAAGAGATACCTCCATCGTTTGGAGAGAATAGATGTTGAAGCAGCTTGCTTTGTGGAGGTAATTAAGGATAGAATTTTGCTCAGAATCTCATCGGGGAGACTGCTGATTGAATCTCTTGAGCAGTTAAATCTTTTGGCATCCATGAGACCCTCAAAACATCAACAACTAACTGCAATAAAAATAAATATCCCTAAGCCATACCAAAAGATTGAATATTTTTATAGTAAAGGCAGAGAGACAGAGACAGGAGGGACAAAAGAGAGTGTTTAGAAATTTAAAATAAAAAAAAAGGTCGGAAACTTTGGAATGTAAGAAGTGAACCTGTAATGGTGAAGAACAGAGACAGGAGGGATTCGGAATTTAGATCGGTATAAGTCTACTTTTCTCAGTCGACATGTTTTTTTTGGGTTCCTTATTAATAAGGGAAATTAGGCCAACTAAACCATAGGAAAAAAGGAAATTATCACACACCAAAAAAAAAAGGAATAAATATTATTAAAAAAAAATAGGTAAGCAAGACAAATTTGTCGGTTAATCTAACGAACAATTGCTCTCAATCCCAGCGGTGGTGTTCCCGTCTTCTTTGTTGCCTTGGTAGGTACATGAATCCCTCAATCGGTGTTGCATTACTGCGCCTTATCTTCTTGACACTTATTAAGAGATCTTTACCATCTGCATTCCAAGCTACATTCCCTTAACACTGATGATCTTCCGACAGTTACTGTCCCTTTTGGTCTCTACTAATAAGATCTGGCTTCGATGATTGGCTATTGTTTTTCGACTTTCTCATATATTTCATTTATCTGATGCGCTTACTTGCATTACTGCAGATTATTCAAATGCTTCTGTGAAGCAGGTGGGATGCAACTCTGCTTTCTATATTTTATCTGCGTGTATATGTTTCAAAGTTTTATTGGATTTTTCTTCTTTTTTTTTTATGTCTAATTGGATTTGGTTGTTGCAGAATTTTAAAAACGTGTAGCTATGCAATATCTCACCTCTCTTTTATCTAAAGATGCAAGTGTTCAAACACTGAATACTTATTAGTTTGATTTATTCTTCTTTTTTTTTTTTTTTTTTTGATAACTCTGGTATCTGGGCAGCCACATTCCCAATTATCCTCACGAAAGGGATCCAGCGCCCCAACGGAAGAGATGTTAAATTCGTTGTAGCCAAGGCTCGAGCCCGGGTGACGGGCAGCACAGCTATACCTCCTTTACCACCAAGCTATTATTCTTTGACTGTCTCCTTTACTAATTTTTAACCCCTCCCTCCTCAGGTTACTAGATGTTATCACAAGTAGCACAACTAATATGGATCCTTTTCGCCTTGACTCTTTCAAGAAAAACAATCTGTCAGCATCATGGCGGGAAGTATGAGTAGATGACACCTCCTCCTTTACAAACTCTGAGGTGTGGTTAAGTTTGTAACTTGATTATTCGTTTTGTTTTTGCGAGTTTCTATTTTTTCTTTATTACTTAGCAGAATCAAACAACATTATCTAAAAGAAAGAATATGACTTGTTACTAAAACTCCAGGCACGGCTAAATGATAGCTAGCCAACGTGTTTATGTGTGACTTAACATCTGCTGCTGATCTTCCTCCGATGTAAGAGCTCTATTTGTTTATGTTATTCTTCCAATGACATTTTCTACCACATAGAGTAGTAACATTCTTTAGTAATTATAGTGCACATGATAAACTCATAGCCATGGCCTACGTCGGTGATAAGTCACTGTGGGAAAGCGTCCACATTTCTCTAGACACTTGACAACCTAAGAGGATATGGTCAATAGTTTCTAAACCTTTACTACGAATCTGACAATCACAATTAATTCTACATCCTCTTCTAACTAAGTTCTCAGCCACTGGCACCAAAATATCTTTATCTTAAGACGATAGAACTCGTGGCACATGGTCATTTTCGCTTTCAAACTGCCTTTCTAGATGATAACTAGACTTGATGTCATATGATCTAGTCTTGCTATATCTCCAATACATCATATCTTGGCGACCTGTTGCACTTGGCCAGACACTACAAGAAAACTACTAGATACCAACGGTCAGGAAACAACGATTCTGACGGAATTCTAACGAAAATGGTTGTTGGTATTATTTCTTGGAAAACAGAAATCCGTCGAGAATTCGTCAGAAAATTTCAACGAACACAATCTTGATAAAATCTTGACGAATACATCGATCGGGATTTTTCAAATACTGACAAACACATCGGTCGGAATTTTTAAAACATCCCGACGAACATAAATCGTTGGAAATTTTTTTAAAAAAATAGACAAGTATACCGATGAACTCTTGATGTCGGTAGTTTAAAAATCTCGACGGATTGTGTCAGTCGAAAATATTTTTTGTGTAATAAAAAATAATTTATATAATTGTATAAATAAATTTAAAAATTAATATGAAATGATAATTTAATTTTAAAAAAAAAAAATAGTAGTGCAAAAGACTTTGTAGGAGCTGAAAGTTCAAGGTAGTTTCCTGAAAGAAAGAATACAAGATCCTATTGTATAAGTGTTAATCCCCTATATATTAATCGAGAAACATTTGAAAAATTGTAACCTCAATTTTGTAATAATTAAAAAAGAGCTCATGCTTACGTGTCACTCAATTAGGTAGTCAATTACATTCAACTGAAAAATAAGTAGGTCCACATTCGATTTTTATATGTCGCTAGATATATTTGTTGGTCAAACTATATGATAGGATATTTATGATATAAGCATTTATGATTGTCATGCTAGATATAATTACTATTTTATTTTATTTCCTTAAATAAAAGCTACGGAATTACCATAAATGACAAATCTATATATGACAATTAATGTTTCTAAAAATAAATATTTGATAACAATTTGTATTTCCACCATCATTTTTATTTAATTTTATATTATTAAAATAAATCAAATAATCAAATTAGCTATAAAATTAAACTTTAGATTTTTTTCGTATATGTTATATTTTGAATTTAAAAAAAAAACAAGAATAAATGATTAAAACTATTATGTTAAAAAGTAATGATCAATAGTTTAACATTTTTATTATAAAAAGATACACATGATTTTAAAACCATATGAGTAAAAAGTATCATTCAATAATAAAAAAAAATATATATATAGATTAAACTATATACCATATAAGATTACATACTTATTTTAATTTCAAAAATTTCAATGAATTTTCAAGAACATTTATAAATTATAAACGTATTAAATTTTTCACATTGAAATTTTTTGTTATCAATGATTTAAATATATTAGTTCTTTTTTTTTTAATTTTCTATTTTTAAAGATATTAACACAATCGAGAATATGGTTATTTTTGGTATATACCATACAAACCGAATGTATGTGATTTTATAAAAACCGTAAAATTTGGATATGGTTTGATTTATAATTTATTAAACTGAAACATGTAAATATGTATATCTATTTGTTACATGAGTTGAACTATAATTATGATTTGTAAATCACTTGAAATATAATTAACTAACAATTTAATGCAACTGAGGCTTCTTATTTTCTTCGTCTTTTTATCTTTTTTTCTTTTTTTAAATAAAAACTAAATTGAAGTAAAAATTATAAATTTGATGGACAACAATTAGTTGAAATTCTTTACAATTTTTTTTTAATCTTTAAACAAACAGAGTTGTGTTCAATCGAAGACATATTAATTTGATGAACACTAAATATGGAAGAACTAGGTGATTTTCCCGTGCTCATGCACGAGCTTAAATATTTAAGAAATAAATATATTATAATAGTTGATTGACATTTACTTAAATTTTATATTAATTTATAGTTTGTATGTATAATTTGTATTAATAATATTATATATTTTAGTTATTATAATTTTATATATATTATATTTAGTCAGTATTATCATTTGGATATATATATATATTGGATTCTTTCTATTCTATGAATTCAACTATAATCTTTTTTATTCTAAATATCTTAAATTTTTGATTAATTATTTTATTTACATTTATGTTGGTTGTTATCTACGAAATATAAGTATATCTACATAAGATTATGTATTTAAGATTTTTTGTGCTTAGAACGAAAAAAATAAAAACTAAAGTGTCTGATTCTAAATTACATAAGTAATAATAAATTTTCGAAAGCTTATGAACACATATCAATATTTACAATAATTAAAATATTTTATAAACTCTAAATAATTCATGCCATAGATTGATTGGATGATAAACTGAATTTTATTTAAATAATTTTAAAAATAAGGAATTCTGATTTGCTTTAAATATTAGATTATAGTTATATTAAATTCCACAAACATAAAAACAGAAAATTAAACATCAAAAGAGTTATTAAGAAAACAGATAATTTTAACTATTAATTATAATATATCTACCTTGTTAAATTATAGTGTTATGATATATCAAAAGAATTGTAGTTATTTGATCAAAAGATGTTTATTATTAAATTTATTTTTAGTTTTGTNTTCCACAAACATAAAAACAGAAAATTAAACATCAAAAGAGTTATTAAGAAAACAGATAATTTTAACTATTAATTATAATATATCTACCTTGTTAAATTATAGTGTTATGATATATCAAAAGAATTGTAGTTATTTGATCAAAAGATGTTTATTATTAAATTTATTTTTAGTTTTGTTTTTAACATCTATTAAAATATGTCGTAAAAATGTGATTTTTTTTTGAGAAATTATATTATGTAAATAAAATATAATTTATATTTTTTGCTGTAATTGTATGATATTATAATCAAATAAATATACTAAAAAAATATTTCAATAATACTAATTATAATTGTTTTGCCAATTAAACATATATTAGTTTATGTTACTTAATTATTTTATGTAATAATCTAATAAAATAGATAGATATATCAAAAAATAATTAATCTGAAAATATATATTTTATTGTTTAAATTATTTTTAAAGAAAAATATTTCTTTTCTAATGTCAAGATTATTTGTATGAACTTTTTTAATGAAAACACATTATATACAAATATTTTTTTCATCTAAGAAGATATAGATATAAAGTATTTTATTACTTAAAAGTATAATTTATGTTATTTAAAAATATATTTAAGTTAAATATTACTATTTTGTAAATTTTCTTTTTTTATGAAACCATATTATATATATACTTATTTTCCGTTTT